TTTGGTTTTTCTCCGGTACCGGGAACCGAACTCACGACCTTGCGCTTGCCAGGCAGGCGCTTTTGCCGCTGAGCTAAATCCCCAGCCCCTGGCATTATTTTTTATACAGAGCAATGCGTTTTGTTTTCCCAAATTCCTTTGTGGACATGAATAATGACTCATAGCTTCTTAAACCTGTATCTTTATGTAGTAGATGATTCTAGACCTTAAATTACTAATAATTTACCTACTATGGAACTTTATAGCTTAAAAATTGTTGTAACATATTTTGAATTTTACCATAGCCATATGACCAGGTATTACTCTTCTAAATTCATTTTAATAGATAAAATTAAAACATTGAAAACTAAAGGCACTGTGACTGGCCTATAATTCATATGTGCTTGTCTAGAATATGCTGAGCCAGACCTGAAATGGAAGTATTTGTATTCCTCAGGTGGTACTGTTAGTATTCAAATGAACAAAATTCCCCATGCTATGATCAGTCCCATATAGATAATTATGTTAAATATTAGTAATCAACATTTTTGAGCCTTTACACATGGTAGATTCATTCCAAGTACTTTACCTGTATTAATTCATTTAATCCTTGCCAGAAATCTGAACTGAAACATAAGGAAACCTAAAGAATGTAAGAAACTTGTTGAAGCAAACAAACTTAAGATGACAAACTGTAGTGTGAACCCAGACAGACTGTAGAGTCAAATGTTAGGCATAATTCTCACTGAGAGTGCTCCAACAAAAAAAATGGAACTACCTGGACGGAAGTAAGCTGATAATACTTCTTGGACTACACTTCAGTGACCTTTTGAAAAATTATTTTTGAACCCTGAACTTCTGTAAAACACTGTAGGAGAAATTAAATTTGTTTCCCTGTCCCTCTAATTTCTATTCATGGTAACTACTGATATTTAATATTTTCTTTTTGGCTTGGTAAGCTCCTATTCATTATACCACTTGTAATTACACAATTTTATGACGTACAACAATTAGGGTCCAACTTTTAACTGTTAAACAAGGTCCTAGCATTATAAGGTTGAACAGCCAATGCAAAATACTTGCTTAGTTTTAGTACTTAGGCTAGGATGAAACTCAAGTCTTCCAAGGCTATTTCTACAGTGGTAAAAAATATTAGCATAATAAATTAGTGTAAAGTGTGTCTGCGTGTGCATGTGTGTGTACAGACTGCGTTTTAAAACTATTTGTGAAGAGTTGGTTTGCAGACCCGCCGAGATGGTCAAGCTCCACTTCTCGTTGAAAAATGCCCTATGGATGCACTGCTGATATCCTGGTGTATTTTACAGCAAATCAGCAAATGAAAAGTTGAGAAACTATCCCAAAATTTGAGAGTTTCCAGGTGTAATTATGTATTACATTCAACAATTTTAAATAATTAACTATTTTAAAGATAAATCTAGGTAGCAGATTTGCCTATTCACTGGTCCTTTGCTATAGTTTTATAACTAGCAAACTAGCAATTTGTTCATGTGGTGGAAGAAAGACTAGCGGAAGAGAACACTGAGCCCATTTACATTTCCCTGTTCATAACTTACTGGAGTAAATCTTATTAATGTTCTAACTCTCAGTGCAAATTCCTCAGGGTAAGATTACTCAGGTATATATTTAATTCTCTTACTGATTGAAGAGACATTGAATTTGAAGTAGTCATATTATTCTCATTCTTTGATCTTCCATCTTTTGAAAAAATATTAATTTTTATCACACATGTGTTATATTCTGATTTATTTTCAAGTATCTGCATTGTGTGTAGGTGTTATAAGGGTTTGTTTTCATCCACAAATTATAAAATTACTGGACATATTAGTAACTTACATAGCTGAACACAGACTCTGTACAACCCTGTATTCCTCCTGGTATATCTCCTTAAGAATTCTTTCTCCCAGTGAACAGAAATAGAAGGAAGCATTTTGTGGTATCTAGGATCCTCCTTCTATAGTGTAATCCATCTTGATGTTATTACTCTGGATGGGGACGTCTATCTAATATTCCATACCCCTGATTATTAACAGAAAATGATTTTTCTCATCATTTATTTATCCTTAAGGTAAATTGGTTGCTCAGATATTTGTACTGTACTTTAATACTTTAGTCATCATTGGACATAAAAATAGTACATTTCTTCAATGGGAATTTTTGGTTAACTTAATTCAGAGCATTGACAGAAAGAATAAAGAAAGATATATTTGCATTTCATGTTGTGTTAGGGTGATGTGTTTCATGTTTGCTTGGGCTCACATTTATCCATAAAGATGATTAAATACATACATTTTCTCCTGTATAAAACACACACATAGAAGCTCTTTAGCACATTGAAATAAAATCTTCAAGGGTGGGCATGAACATTTTAAAACTTATAAATATTCCACTGGTTTACATTGATACGCTCTACTTGTTGAGAATAATATAGTAGATTACCATAGCTGATGCATTTCCTGGTCTCAGAATAACACTATGAGGAAAATAGCACTTTATTTAAGGATGAGCAAATTAAGATCTAGAGGAGCTAAATATCTTGCAGGGGGAGGGAGGTGTCACAAAACCAGTGTTTTTTAGCTGCAATTTGAATCTTGGTCAATAGGATTCTAATCCCCATTTTTTTTTCAGAATTACTCCTATGAAAATATGATGTGAATAAAAACAAGTTCTTCTAGTAACAGTCTTCTAATCAAGCGATGGCTGACTGCTACTGAACGGATGGCTGATTGCTACTGTGCGTCTATCAGCCAGACCCAGAAAGAACGAGAGGGCACACCCAATTGTGTAATTTGAGAGTATTTAATACGGACAGTTTAAAGTATGCGGGCTGTACCCAGGACTAACTGCCTGAAAACCTGAAGGAATCAACCTCAGTATAATGAACCTAGAAAGAGCGCAGTGGAAGAGGGAAGCAGGGGAGGAGAGCAAGGCAGGAGATGGGGATACTGGGGCTGCGGGAGATGGAGATACAGGGGCTGCGCACGCCTAACACCGAGTGTGTGAGCGCGGCTTTCTGCTCCCGCACTCTCACTCTTCCTGATAGAAGAAAGAAAATCAAAATAGGAGAGTCTGAGAAAAACAAACAATACCAACAACAACTTTTAAAAAAATGTCTATGATGACAAATACTTCCGAAATGTATCAGTGCACATTCTTCTTGAGCAGCTCTCGGCATTAGAATTTGTTGTACGTTTACCAGATTATAGACAAACAAAGTTTGAAAAATTGTTTCCGATCTCCCCTCTGATACATACATTTAAATTTTTAAAACTGTTGTGGGGGATCAACTGATCAAGATATAGTTTCCATATAGGAAAATCCTTCTTAGATTAAATACATGACTCCATGAATTTTCACAAATGTATATAGTCATGCAGCCAACACCATATTTAAGATACAGAATGTAATTGCAAAAAACAATTCAAGTTTTTCAAATCCTTAATTCCACTCGACTAAATATTTGGTAGCAACATGAAAATATATTTATTATAAATAAATTAGATGGGGTCTGATTACATGGAGACAGGGTCTGACTGTGTTGCCCAGGCTGGTTTTGAAACTGTGGACTCTAGCCATCCTCTTGCTTCAGCCTCCTCAATAGCTGGAGCTACAGATGCATGCTACCATACTGGATTGTGTTTCCGAACAGAAAAATTGATGATAGTAATCAGCAATGTGTTGTACATAGTAGGTGATTTTATGAAAAGGTTTCTCTTGGTTTGAATTATTGCCTATGGTAACACATGGGTGTATATTGGTTACTAGTTGACTTCATGTGTATTATAATGAACAAAAATTTATAACTGCTGTACATTGAAATCAACTTCATCTCCTAAGTCAGTGTCCAGATGGCACTGCATTAACTCAAGCTGTCTTGGATAATCCAAATCTTTCTAAGTGATTCCAATATTCTGCCAAGGTGTGGACACTCTAAATTAGGCCAGTTGTTCTCAACATTGACTATACAACACTGTAGAACCCCTTGGGCAATGGTTTTAAAAAATACTGATGCCTTCCTTCCCACTGTGCTTTCTACAGCTTATTCATAAAAGGTGACCAACAGAAAATAAAATGTGGGTCCCTAAGATCTCTGAATGTTTGCAGTCCCTTTAATCAGGTTTTTATTACAGTTCTGGGTGTGCAACAATGCTCAATAAATGTTAAATGGAGTACCTAATCCCACTGTGAAGACAAGGAAAATAAAATATGTTCCCTCTTAGAAATAAAGTGTTGATGTATTTGAATAATCTTGACAAACTAACACTTCCTGAAAATTGTCCTCCTAGGTAATATACTTCAAACTGTGAGCCTCATATTTTAGGAGAATACTGTATTTCCACTATGTACTCTCAGCACAATACTTAAGTCCATATATATCTTACAGCCATTTCATAATTTTCTCTGAGGAAATAGGTAGGAAACAAGATTAAGAGACTGAGGATAAGATTTAAATCAACCTCTCACTCGGAAGCATAAATGATGCTACTGTACCTCTGGGTCTAGAAAATATTGCCACTGTGTAAAATAGAGTGATGGTACTTTTCTGTCTTTACAGTGGCAAAATATATACACAGAGGACACAGCCTAGTGCAGGAGGTGTAACAGAGATGAACAAAGCCTGTAATGCAACGTATATAAGACTAGCACAATATTGACATTTAGTATCTTTTCCAGTTTTCAGGAACTAGTACTGAAGTAACCAAAGTCTTCTTTCCAGTATGAAGCTATTGATGGCCTATTAAGGCAGAAATTCCCATTAAGCGAATATCTTCCATCTTTGTTGTAAATTGCTTGGGGTGCCTGCTCTTTAGATGTACTGAATACCTTAGAAAGAAGTGTTTAATCCTTCAAAAGTAGACTACCGCGTCAGCAAAACCAGTGCTCCTCTTATGATAAAGATTCTCAGTTTAAAACGTAAAACATAAAGTTTAATTTGTCCTTCAATTTATTTTTTCCTTCCTCCTCTGTAGGACCACCTCAGAAAGCAGCGTCACCTAAACAAGAACATGAAGATAGGAAACAGGACAAAGTCCCAGACAAAGGGAGTGAAAGTGGGACCTCCTGTAACGAGCTCTCCACCTCCAGCTGTGACAGCCACTCAGAAGCGAGCACGCCCCAGGACAACCCGTCCAGCGCCCAGCAGGCCAGTGCTCACCAACCGAACACCTTAACGTTGGATCGCCCCTCCAAGAAAGCACCTGTGCAGTGGATGCCGCCGCCAGACAAGCGCAGAAACAGTGAACTCTTTCAGACACTCATCAGCAAGTCCCGGGAAACAAATCTTTCCAAAAAGAAAGTCTGTGAGAAGCTAAGTGTGGAAGAAGAAATGAAAAAGTGTATTCAGGATTTTAAAAAAATCCACATTCCAGATTATTTTCCAGAGCGCAAACGCCAGTGGCAATCTGAACTGCTGCAGAAGTACGGGTTATAGTAATCATCGCGTTAATGTGTATTTCAAAGACGTTCAATGTTTACTACGGTGTTACCACCTGGCTGGCGGTCAGTGTGATTTTTGCTGCTCTTCCTTCTCGTGAACTGTAGACGTGGGACAGTATTTTATCATTATCTTTCGTTGTTGTTCTTTCTTGAAACATGATTTAAAAAGTGGAGCCAATAAATGTGGAGTCAAAATGGTGTACCTATTTGATTCAAACTGTTTTGCAAGAATGAAAGTAAAATGTGCATGATCAAGAATCTTAGAATCTTGATTTTTGAACTGTGTTTAACTTGACATGTTTGTCATTTTGTAACTCACCAAAATCAAGTCATCGTATCGCACCAACTAACATGACAACATGGATGAATCAACATCAAGTAAAATTGTAGACGATGGTTTTAGGACACAAGTCTAAAACTGTTTAAATGTTAATGCAATAAAACAAGTATTATTTTGCATGAGCACAATGTTACAAATAAGTCACAAGAAATAGGAAAGATCTGTTTGCTACTTGGAAAGAAAAGAATTACAAAATAAGATAAAGAAAAAGTTTCAGGCAGAGCCTGTATATGTAAATGTCTAAGCAATTGAACTTAGTTCTGGATCTGTGATGATTTTGTGTATGTGTATGGTGTTTCTGTACGTTCAGATGGTGTAAATATGCCTTATACTGTTGTGTTGCGGCATCGACATTCATCTATTACTGCTAGTCATGATTATTTCTGTGAAATGAGTCTTTTACATCAGGCTGTGAAAATTAGTTTAATGATGCTCTGAAAGATTTTATTATTGTGTTAATCAAAATAATTGAGGGAAATGGTAAAAAGCTTTATGTATTTATTAAAAAAAGGAAAATGCATTAGAATTCCTTGATTTCTATTGACTTTTTAAAAATAATTGTTTGTCTTCAATTTTCCTTTAGAAACCCATGCTGTGTAATGATCCATCCAGACTTCATAATGAGGAACTTAAACCTAGTTCAAACCTGAGGGACAGTCAGATCCAAATAGCCTTTATGTTGATTAATATACTCTTAACCCACAAGAGAATAAACACCATCTAAGAATACAATAAAATTTTACTTAAGCCCAAAACCAGATATAGAGCCTTCCACCAAACAAGAGGGACATTATTGTGTACAAATCAGGAGACAAACATCAAAATAACATACAAAAACTCCAGCGTTGAGCTGGGGATTTAGCTCAGTGGCACAGCACCTTCCTGGCAAGCACAAGGTCCTGAGTTCAATTCCCAGTATTGGAAACAAGCAAACAAACAAAAAAGAAAAAACAAAAACTCCGGCTTTTATAAAAAGTGATTTTTTCCATTTGTATTTTTGTATATTTGTATATTTGTGGACACAAGCTTTCTTATCAGAAGCCACACAATTTTGCCTCACCATCTCCACAGAAAGAACTGTGTAATATCATGAGATGTTGATAAAGAATAGGCTGAGAGAGGTAAAAATATTTTCAAGAATTATGGGATTCCATCTCCTCTGTGGTTAGTCAAAATGGAACCTGTGCTACACTAATGGCATGATTTCTTTCAGCGTAATAGAAAGAGATATACATTATTAAATCAAAAATGTAAGAACATTCATTTTTGGATGAACTTTGAGATTTCTTAGTATTATATTATGTAAAGTGTCATCTACAATGCACTATGAAAGAAAAGATATCTAATTTACTTTGAATTATCTATGATGCTTTAGAAAAATATCTTTTCTCAAGTTCTTTATTTGATTACAGAAAGTAATCAGTCCAAATGTAGTCTAATATAGGAACCACACCAGTGATGGATAGAACTTGCTAGTTAGGTTGTCAAATTTCAAACCCTATATCTATCATTTATGTTCTACGTAATCTTAGAGAACATAGATACTAAAGGGACTAAAATATCATAAAGAAGATTAAACAATGTATTTGAAATAAAGCATTGCTACCCCTCTTGAAGCCAGAGAGAAAAGGGAAAATAATGGTTTTACAGTTTCAGAAGTAACACTACCATATGGTGACTTAAAACCCATAGGGTTAAACCACCTAGTGAGAACCAAACTTCTAAGGAGTGACAGTCCCTTCAAAGTTTCCCCCAAAGCAAAGAGAGTAGGGAAAATTTACCCTAGCTTCCAAGTTCTTTTTACTTGCTACTTTTCCACTGATACTTTCTATATTTACAGTATAAATTCAAGCCAGTTTCAAAGAGGCCTTGACAATGCAACTTATACAAATGATCCCTTTGCAATAAAAAATCCTAGAAGGAAGGGGTAGGGAATAGACATTAAAAATATCTTGCACTTTTCTCTCTTTTTCCTGATATACAAGTATCTACACACCAAGAGAAGGGGTGTTCAAGAGTCTATGATCATTCTTACTAAAGTAGAATAAAAATTACTAACCAAGAATGGAGGATAATCCATTGTAGATACAGTTTGTTGAGTACTCATCATACAGACGTATTTGCTTCAGAGGTGAACGACATATTCAAGAGCACAAATTGTCATTTTGATTTTGCCAGAGGGTAGAACCAGACAATCCTTAAGAGAGTTACAAAGGGATTAAGGTAGGTAGCTAGAATGAAGACTTTTCCCTGAAGGAAAATAAAATTACGCAAAATTTAAAGGAAGGTGGGCAAAAAATTCGTATTCTTTGGAGGGGCTTCTTCCCCTCCAAAGAATCAGGAGATGAAATCTGATCATCACTAAAAGTCACAAGACTAGAAGCAGGCATTAGATTAAGTACTAATTTTCCTCCACGTAGTTTTACTTCTCCTGGGAATGCAGGATAAATTCAATTTGTGATTTGATATGTTACTATTACTACTTCAAGCAGAAACATTGAAAACTAAAATGAAAAAAGTCAACTGTGAAATTTATTATTATTTTCCTCCTATGTACCTGACACTTGTAACCAAAGAGAAACAGGAAAATTATATGGGCATATTAGGGTCCAAGAAACAACACAGGAGTGAGTTCTCTGTTTTTTTTTTTATTTTATTTTAAAGAGAGTAGTACCTGAGAAATAAACAAACAAAGAAATAGAACAGGAGTAGCATACCAGTATCACGAACATAAACAAATCAAAGCAAAAACATTCAAAGTGATACAGGGTCTCAAGACAAAGTAATGCAAATCAACAGTGGTTGTTACATTGCATACCGCTGTCCTCAACTACATTACTCAGATTATCACATGTAAGAATGAAAGATTGCTTAAACCGTTAGAGAGATTAAGAAAATAATTCTCCAATAAAACATTAGAGAAATTAGAGAGTTTCACTAGACAAGATGGTAGAAGTTCACCATTGTAATTCCATTGCATATTGCTACCTTCAAATCAGTTGCTCAGACCACCAGACACAAGCATGCCAAGTCTATCAGAACATAAAAAATTGTGAGCATTAACTGTTCATTTCAAAGCACCATCAGACAGCAGCAAAACAGTTATTGCAGCTACTCATATATATATATTTATGTTTTGCCTTCCTTCTTTCTTTATTCTTCTTTCTCTCATCTCGGTAATTCCTTCCCTTGAGCACTTTCTTTCCCTTTCCTATCATCTATTGGACGTTTTGAGTTTTACCTAGTCTTTCAGTTCCTACACCAAGGAGACAATGTTTACACATGTGGGTCCTATTTATTTCACTTATGAGTATGGTCTCTAGTTGCATCCATTTACCTACAAAAGCCTCAAGTTTATCTTTTATAATAGCTGAGTAATACTCCATTGTATAAAAATATCACTACTTTTTTATCCATTCCTCAGTGGATGGGCATCTGGGTTGTTTCCAAGCTTTAGCTTAACAAATTGTGCTGCTATAAACGTGAGTATATATATATCACTGTGGTATACGTCTTTAATTCTTCTGGGAAAATACCCAGAAGGGGAATAGCTGGGTTAAATGGGACTTCCACCCTAGTTTTGTGAGGAATCTCCAAATTGATTTCCACAGTGGTTTCACCAATCTATACTCCTACCAGCAGTGGAGTAGGGTTCCCTTCTCCCCACAGCCTCTCTAGAATTTGTTATTGGTTGATTTCTTGATGATAGCCATTCTTTCTGGGGTGAGATGGAATCTCAGTGTTATTTTAATTTGCATTTCTCGAATGACTAATGACGCTGAACATTTTTTCATGTATTTATTTGCCATTAGTATCTCTTCATTAGAGAAGTGTGTATTCATCTCAGATGCTCATTTTTGGATTGGGTCTTTGAATTTGGGAGGCCTGATTTTTTTTAAATCTTTGTATGTCCTAGATGGAAGTCCTTTGTCAGAGGGGCAGTTGGCTAAAATTTTTTCCCAATTTGTGGGTTTTCTTTATACTATATTGGTGATTTTTTTAGATGTGCAAAAACTTTTCAATAAGAGGAGATCCCAGTTGTTGATTCTTTGAAGTATTTCCCGTGCAGTTTGGTTTTTGTTCATGAATTCTCTGCCTACCCCAATGTCGTCAAGATTTTTACCTACTTTCTCTTCCAATAAATTTAGTGTGTCTGTTTTAAATTTTAGATCTTTGATCCATTTTAACCTTAATTTAGTGCATGGTGAAAGACATGGGTCTAGTGTTAGTCTTCAGCATGTGGAAAGCCAGTTCTTCGTGCACCATTTTTTAAAGAGGCTATCTTCTTTCCGTTGAACACGTCTGGTTCCTTTGTCAAAAATAAGGTGACTGAGTGTGTTTGCTGTTGCATCTGTATCTTCTAATCTGTTCCATTGATCTTCAGGTCTGTTTTTGTGCCAGTAACATGCTGATTTTATCACAGTAGCTTTGTAATATAATTTTAAGTCAGGAATTGTGATGCCTCCTGCCTTTCCTTTGTTTCTCAAGATTGCTTTTGCTATTCTAGGCCTCTTCTGGTTCCAGATGAACTTTAGGAGTGTTTTCCCTGGATCTGTGAGGTATACTAATGGTATTTTAATTGGGATTGCATTGAATCTGTACAACAATTTTGGTAGTATGACCATTTTCACAGTGTTGCTTCTTCTTATCCACAATCAAGGAATATCTTTCCATTTTCTGATATCCTCTTTGATCTCTTTTTCCAGAGTACTATAATTTTCACTGTATAGATATTTTACTTCTTTTGTTAAAATTATTCCTAAGTATTTTATCATTTTAGGTGCTGTTGTGAAAGGTGTGGTTTCCCTAATTTCTTTCTTATTCTGTTTGTTACTTGTGTACAGGAATGCTATTGACTTTTGAGTGTTAACTTTGTATCCAGCTATGCTACTGAATTTGGTTATTAAGTCCACAAGCCTTTTGGTGGAGTTTTTGGGGTCTTCTGTGTAGAGTATCATGTCATCTGTGAAAAATGACATTTTCACATCTTCCTTTCCTATCCTTATTACTTTTATTTCTCTCTCTTGTCTAATTGCTCTAGCCAATATTTCCAGAACTATATTGAATAGGAGTGGTGACAGTGAACATCCTTGTCTTGTTCCTAATTTTAAAGTGAAAGCTTTCAATTTGTGACCATTTAGTATGATCTTAGCTGTTGGTTTATCATAGATGGCTTTGACCAGCTTGAGGTAAAGGCCATCTAGTCCTATTTTCTGTAGGGTTTTCAACATGAATAAGTGTTAGACTTTGTCGAAGGCTTTTTCTGCATCAATGGAGATGATCATGGGATTTTTGTCCTTCACTCTATTGACATGGTGTATGACATTGGTTGATTTGTGTATATTGAACAATCCCTGCATTCCTGGTATGAATCTCACTTGGATGTGGTGTATAATCTTCTTGATGACTTGTTATATTCTGTTTGCTAGTATTTTATTGAGAATTTTTGCATCTATAGTCATTAGGGAGATTGGTCTGTAGTTCTCTTTCTTGGTTGGGTCTTTCTCTGGTTTTGGTATC